TTTGTTTAGATCTTCATTAATTCTCAACGCAAAAACTCGACGCCCTGGACTTGGGAATAAAAAAGCAATGACGTTTTTCCGTCTTTCTCTTTGTTGGAGCTCGCGAGATGAGAGACTGGGGTATTTCTTCATTATTTACTTTATTTAATTGCGCTCTTATACCTGGTGTTAGGGTGGCAGACGAAGGGCTCTGGATTATAGGGTAAGCGAAATAAATCAAAAGAAAATAGAAATAATTTTTAATTTTCGTGCCACAATTTTAGTCCTCTGTTAGGTATGTGTACAAATATTAGTAGTTTTGTTGTTATGGTTTTGAAAATCAGCCGCCACTACCTATGTTTTAAATCTATAAGCAATAATTAAGGATTGTCCTCATCGATTTTAAATTTTTTGGTCATATTTCCACAAACTCCTATATTTTATTAGTCATTTCAGTTATCATCCTGCTCGGCCACCCTTTCACACAATTTAGTTAAAAAAGGCTATTTTGTGTACTAGAAATAATATATGTTCATAGGAGAACAACTGTAATGTCCAAATAAAATAGAGCTCAGTTTAACTAGTATATATGTCACATTAAAAAATGCTACGCATTTGCTCAAAGGTGTTATATAACTGAAACACATTCTTAAAACAAAAATGCCTATAAAATATGTGAGTACTTGTTATCCACGGCAATTACCGAAATAAATAAACATTGTTCAAAGTCGAGAATCAAAAGAGAAGAATAATTAAATAACGTTCACGAAAAATAGGAACTATTTAAAAAGCACTCTCGTATTTCAAACAACATTAAGAATCTCGTCAAAGATTAACATCATAAAAGATCTTTTAGTATGATTTATGATAATGTAAGCAATTCGCGCCGGGAACAAATTATTAAAATAACATCAACACTTAAACTGTTACGAAACGAGTTAGTAAACGAGGTCGTTTTGACACCTGTTCAAAATGTAGTTTTCGCTGATTTTAACCCACTTCCAGAGCGTTAAGCGGACTGTTATCGCGGCCTCTGTCGGCTCATATTAACCTTGTTCGTTAGATTTCTATACGATAAAAGCCAAGATGCCAAAGGGCTACCTAATAGATGGCATAATGACGTAGGCTGTTTAAAAGCAATGTAAATAATAATAACTAGGTCATTTTTAGTCTTTTTTCAAACGAAATAAACATCAGAGATGTGGTAATATAAATATTCCAAGTTCATTAATATACGCATTACAGTATTTAATATGAGTTAAATATTGAAACATTCCAAAAAAAAAAAAAAAAAAAAAAAAAAAAAAAAAAAAAAAAAAAAAAAAAAAAAAAAAAAAAAAAAAAAAAAAAGGAGAATTGGGGGGAAAAAACAGGGGGGGGGAAAAAAAAAAAAAAAAAAAATTTTTTTTTCCCGGGAAAAGGGGGGGCCTTGGGGGATAAAACGCGCAAAAAAATACCAAAAAAAATTTTTCCCCAACCTAATCAAAAACAATTACGAACCAGCGTCATATTAAAAAGCCGTGAAATGTAAGCGTGTGAATTTCAGAATTTTAACAAAAATCTGCAATAACTTAGGACTCAACGACGATATACGATTAATAACATACACTTACATCGCGTAATAGTAAGGTAGTACACCTTTAAAGATATCACAAATTGAAAAAATGGAAGTAGAAAATTTTCCAATAATTAATTTTAATTAATGGGATAAGGCTGAAAATTAGTAGTAATTATTATAAGACTATTATACCCGTATTACAAAAAAATCGTTAGTTTTGGCCGTACCGCTTCCTTGTGTGCTTTACTATAATTTAGAGTATACGAGGTATAAAATGTCTCGTCTTTATTTATGTATTTCTTAAAAAGTTTCTATTTTTTTTTTGTTTTTCTTATTTCACTTTTTATTTATAAATGTTAGTTATTTAAGCTTATATTTAAGTTATTTATTCTGTCTTGTGAAATATGGCAAAACGCCTTGACCGTTTTAGATTCAATTTGAAAATAACCGTCTTTCTCATACAATAAATATATAGACAATTAATTTTTAAATTTCGAAATTATCATTGACTTATTATAAGTAATAATTAAAAACATTTAATTTGAATTAAAACAGACACAAAAATAGCGACGCCCTAAATAGCTGCATAGGTGCTAAACTCAGACTAAAGTAAATCGAAAATTGCGTAATATTTCGACTAGTAAAACAGTCGTTAATTATTCGCTAATGATTTGTTAGGGTTAATTAACGAATCATTACGGAACCCTTAACCTAAATCACACAATTTTAATATTAAGTAGGTTAAGCTCGGGCTTAGTGCATCATTGATTTGGGTCAAAACTGTTTAGATTAGACTTCTCGTTAATGATATTGAATCTGTTGGATATGAACTGGAACTAAGACTATAGGCCATAAGGCATAAACTAACAAAAGGAGTAATGATGCAGTCGAAAATCTTCATGCATAGTTACGGCCAAACAGACATCTTAAAATGATGAGACTTATGTCCTGAGAGCAAAGAGATAAACAAACAAGCATCCATCTACTTACTAAATGCTCGATGTACTTAAAATTAAGGCATGTGGGAAGTGACAACATAACAGAAGATAATAGTATAAGAAGAAAGAAGTATGAATTTCGGCAGTCGCGTAATGTTACCTCTGTATTGGACTGACAGTAATAGACGAGCTGTTAGGCCGGTAGAGGGGGGATTTTAAAGACTTTTATAGAGTAATATATTTAAGGTACCAGCCGGTTAGATGAACCGTAAGAGTTCTTTACCGGTTTAATTATTGTAAAACAAAATTATAATGTTAAAGAATAATAAAATAAATAAAATAAAAAAAAAGAATTCAAAATGAACCAAATAATAAGATTTTTGCAAAGAAACCTGAAGTTTTAAAGGGGACACAGTGGGATTTAGTAAATCCAATATCCTTAGAAAGGGGAAAGTTTAGTAGATAATGTGTGAGTGATTACCTGGCCCTCTATCGGTAGAAATCGGCCCGATAGAAAATAATAACAATATATTGCGTATTCGTTAGGTGTATATGAAAATGTGATTTAAATATTCAACCCTACAATTAAAAACGCTGTAGATCAATTTGAGTCAAGAGAGAATAGCCGTAGCCTTGAAGAGCTAATATTTTGTGTCCTAAACGAATCTACGCTGGGTCTGTCGTTTCTGCGAGTAATACAAGAATCAAAACAAAAATTAACGGGTTAAGACGAATATATTTTGAACTAACCTTTTGAAATAAAACCTTAACTTTATTAATACGTGATTTGTAAAAAAATCTTATAGTACGTTGCGTTTTTTTATCATCTACAGAGATTCGTATCAAAACGATGTCCATTATTTATCTTTCATGATATAGAAACATCTGTATGCAGGAACTGAGTGGGCTGTTATCGTTCATTTTTAAGATAATTGCTCGTAATAATCGTATCGTCGAGATTCTATTAGTTTTTGTACAATAAAATCTATTATACGTCGATAAATAAAGAACAATTCCAAATCGAGATAGAAATATATCAGGCATGTAATATGTAATATTCAAAATTCACTTATCACAGTGACGAATTCCTCAACCGGCAGAACCGGTTTTAATGAAATTTTGTATATTTATTCGTTAAGTTTAGTATGTTTTTTTAATGCGCCTTATTTCTACCAAATGTCTCTAAATCTAATTAATATGGCAAAAAAAGTCTGTCAAATGAGCTAGTGTAACTAAGGCATCTTACTATTTTTATTATATTTATTTGGCCCTAAACTGTTATAGATTATGTCACACCATAGGAATCTAGTCTATAGTTTACATAAGTCGTACACATCTAAATACGACACTTTTAATACGTTAAAACGCGAATTTTTTTTTTTTTTGTCGTAAGGACTACTGCATCCGAAACCTGAAGTCATAATTAAAAAGAAAATGTAAATAAGTAATAAATATTTCATTTCTTTAATTCAATATAATTGCTGATCAACAATAATTAGATCTAGAATCAATAAAATGTTTATTATTTGCTGGGTTAAACGTGGTGTACATGGCTCTCTGTCACTGCCCCAAAAATGCCCGGTCACAATTTGACATTGAAACATTGGGTCTCATACATATTCAGGCATAACATAATATATTAAATGCTCCGAGTGATAAACGGGCGCCTTGGTTCTACGCATTGCAAATTTGCTTACGGGCAAGGGTTTCAGTGTACCTATGAGGGGATAAAAATTATGGCCACCCCCGCATCAACTATGCCCTACGTACTTTAAATTAATTCAGAATTACCATCTTGGAAAATTGCGATATTATTTTTTGCCGACTTCAAAAAGGTTCTTAATTCGATTTGTATATCTATTTTCTTATGTATAAAGGATGGAGAGTTTGTTTGACCGCGCAAATCTAAGAAACCACTGGTTCGAATCAAAAAAAATATTTTGTATTATTAGAACATTTATCAAGGTAGGCTGTAAAAGATCGCGCTGTGAACTAATAGGAGCAAAGAAACAGCGAGAAATGTGGAAAAAAACAGGGAAATTTATTTATAAAGATATCCAAAAATAAATGATTCCTCATTAAATGATCTAAAAAAAATGTCCGCGACAACATATGTCTTTTATCTATTAAGATTTGTTAGAACGATGGAACGCGAGCGAAGTCGTGGGTAAGAGTTTAAATTTACAAAGATGAAGTAGAGGTTTACTAAAAACTAATTTGGATGCCCAAAATCACTATTCTACGCTAATAAATGCTTTCATTTGGTTTTTAAGCGTTCATTGCTATTCTTTATTTGGATTATAATCTCACTAGCGTTGTGTGAATTCGGTCTCTAACTATTTAAATGTCCTCTCAAAGGATTCTTTGCGAGGAATGAAAAGACTCACAAATCCTCTACAATTAAAGATGATATCTACTTGCGAAAAATCACACGATATTCTGCTAGTCCTCGAAGCTCGAAATATTAAAAATGTAAGCGTTTCACGAGCCCAACAAAGTGTAAATATCGCGAAATATCCAATAGATTACAAAGGGGCCGGGTGTAATTTTCGCTGCATTCCTAAACAGGGTTCCGGGGTCCCGACCAAAATATTTAGGTCAGCGTTACAACCTTCCTCAAAAACGTTGCTACGCTCCTCTGACAATCAAATGAGATAGTGTCATTAACTGGCTCTCTTCCGGGATGAGTTAATACCAGGAATTACCTAATTGCACCAAAGACTGCGAAATATTTCCTACTTCATAAGTAAAAGTAAAATTGACAAGTACTGACAACAGTGTACAATGTACTCCCCCCTTGACCACGACTTTTACAAAGCAGCTGCATAGTCGGGCCGTAGCTAGAAAAAATTGTTAAAAGTTAACTAATTTATTTCGTGTTTTTAACCGTTAAAAGTGGTTTATTAAAAAATAATGGTGCATTGTAATTTTTTTAAGTTCTCTTTTAAGTCTGAATTGAAACCGTATTGAAGAGAAATATAGGTATAGCTGAGCACAAAGCGCGCTGCAATTAGCCCTGCACGATATCTTGCGGTGGGGCCATAATGGAACTAACTTCATGCAAGCTTCGCGCCTTTTTCTTGAGGTTTCTAAGTGATTGCCTCAACGTCACTGCTCATCAGGAAATCTACATTGATTCGCGGTTTAGACGCCCGCCATTAAGGAACCGAGTAGAGTTTTCTCGCAATTTCCCTGCTAGGAAAATAATATCTTCCTTATTGTTAACTCGAAACATTCTATCGACTTACGTAACTACAGTACAAGTACAGTTAAATACAAAAATGTACATATTTACCCAACACAGTTTTCATTAAAACTGACTTTAGCTAAAATACAAAACAAAAAAACTTAACTTAACTTTAACTCATTTTAAATTAACTACGGCCGTGGTCACGATGGGCCTGAAGATGATGATGAAGACGACATTAGAAACACTTTCTATCTTGTAACCGTGACCACAAGTATCCGAATAAATATATTTCGCGTTTTAAACAGTTTAAAATGATTTACTTAAATATTAACTATTCGCTTAAACTACGAAAAGCCTAAAATATTATCCTTTTCCTAGCTAACACTACATTCACATGAAGCCTTCATTATTTTGACATATTAACTACACCCGCCCACCAGAACGACAGCTAAGCCTCTTATACTCGTATTATCGAATAATAAATTCCAACTTATAGATTTGTTTGTACAAGCGTATGACAATGGCCACTAAATACCCTCAATGAATGACAGATATTTGTAACTTTAAACGCGACGAGGAAAAATGCTTACTAAATCGTTGGAGCTTATCTGCTTAAGGTAAGTGAAAGTGGCGCTCAAAAGCGATTATGTCTCAATTAAAATAATAATAGACTTAAAACTAAGGCTTTATTTTATTGCTAGACTGCGCAAGAGGTTTAAATATTAAATCTTTGTTAATAGTGGAAACTTTTCGCGTTAGTAACAAATTCGAAACTATTAAATATTATTAGAAACCTTAAAAAATTCCTCTGTAATGGTTAAACGTGTTGCCTAGCATTGAGTCAAACACAAGAGGTTTTGGGTTCGATTCCGAGGGAGACAATCAATTATTTCAGTCGGAAACAGAAGTTTTGTTAGCTAAGTACTTGCCTATATAAAAACCGATCAGTCGAACGGACATAGAAATGTGTTCGGTCCATTCTGACCCGGCAAACGTTGTTTTGCCATATAAATAATTTCAGGAGAGGAAAAGGATTAAATTACTAAAATGGCTATTAAAGAATAAGGGTTGATCGTAGAAGGGTGAAAATTGAGGATTGTATGTATTTTTGTATGTTGTATTATAAAAAACAGAAATTAAAACTTTTATCTAAAAAAAAAAAATAGGGGTGGACTACCCCTAACATTTAGGGGGATGAAAATGAATAGATGTTGGCCGATTCTCATAGATATCGGATAAGCACAAAAAAATTCATCTAAATCGGCCAAGCCGTTTCGGAGGAGTATGGCAACGAAAACTGTGACAGTGAGCATTTTATATATTAGATATGTTTAAACTTTGAACGTATTAAAGAGTTACAAGAACAAGTAGAAAAAGTGAGTGGGTCTCAACGCCGCGGTCGGTACGGTTGTAAATACACGTTACATAACGTTATCGCTCGCGTGATAAACAAACATAAAGAGGAATATTTACAGAGATGTATGGGCTCGCTGTATTTTTGGAAATATGACTTATAAGTTCTCGAGAATTACTATCTGGTAGCAACTGTTTATTGGAGGGAAACACAAATGTCTTATATATTAGAACTGCGGGTGTGTCCCTAAATGTTTTTCAAATAAGAATTAGTATAAAATAATAATTTTGACGGCGTCGTTGTCAAAAATATTATACAACGGGTCAATCCAGCATTTTTCTAATCAACCTGTAATTTTACTTAAACATGTTGGAATATCGAATTTGCGTTCAGGTAACGAAGCACCGTCCACAAACAGAAAAGCTCTCGCGTTTAATCGCGTTTCGATCGACGGCGTATCTTGTTGATGTGTTATATGGCCGGGGTGTTTCATCTACTAGCAAGTACACCCCGTGTTTGTCTATCCTCTTCTATCATAAACAAATTGTAAATATTTTTCGCATTTTGTGGTACTCGGTTACACATATATATTTTACTTTTCGCAGTGATAAAAACCACCAACACCAAATTTCATGAGTTAATCGTAAAGCAACGTTTTATATTTATTTCATTTATATTTAACTCTTGCACAAGTTACAGCGGCCATTCATAGCCAAAAGACTATTAAAAAGTTAATAATGCTCCAAACAAATAAAACAGTCCCCGCTTAGAAATGTCGGTTTAGAGAATATTATCATGTTTGTTCAAAGTTCATTCATAAAATTGAGTGTCCACGAGTTTTTGTAACCGTCATTAAAACGAGATATGATTTATTTTTAACGAGCTTCTGATATTTATGAGTCCCCTTGAATTAAGGGATTTTGGGGCGTTATCTTTTAAATAAACATTTGATTGTTCTTTATTTATATTATGTTTGTTTATAAAACTACGAGGCCTCGGTCTTCTATAAATATCGTAAATCGCATAGAGCGTAACGCGTTACGCATTCTCCAAACAGTAATAGTAAAAGAGTACCTGTTATCTTTTAAACAAAGTTCACAATACATGTGAAGCAGTGCTCACGTGAAAAAAAAACAATTTTTTAAACAGTTGTTCGATATAGCTTGGAAACGAAATTATTATAGTTATTTTAAAAGCTAAACAAAACAGATATAATTCTCAAAAATCTGAGAATAGGAGATTAACTCAATAACAATTTTGCAATAAGATTTACTCAGAATTTGTTAATTTTTAGTCCGAGTTATGATGTAGAGCGAGTATGGGTTTCTGACCTGGCTTATCCAAATCACTTAGGAACTCCTCCGTGTCGGTGTAGGCGGTGGTCAGGCCGAGGGTGAGAGCCGTGAGCCAGCACCAGAGAGGCCCCGGCCGCTGCATCGCCCCCACTTCACGAGCACATCACTATCCACTACACTCTCACTTGACACTCACTCTTGTACCTGGAAAATGAGAGAAACATATATATTATATTGAGCACTAGAGTAAAATAGGCTGGCAAAATTATTACTTCGAATACTTTGACGTTACGTAACTATATGAGAAGGTAAATGTCTAGTCCCTCTATAGCGTAGGCCTAACCTCCCGAGATTAGGCAATTTATAATTGTGATAGCAATATACAATTTAAACATTAAAACTGCATCTAATGAGTAAAACATTATTGACAAAACGGCTACATATATAGTTGTATAGATTCTCCGACCAAGGAATATATATTTAGAGGAAGACAGACAAAAATAGTAGCATCTCAAGAAGAAGCCCTGCCGACCTATTATATTTTGGAGTTGGACCTCCCATGTGATATCCAGATTAGAAAGCCTTCGTCCTTCGACGTGCGTGAGAGAAAGTATTAATTCAGATATTTTTTTATTCTGCGCTATTTTCTTGTCATATTTACGTCGAAATATTGCAGATGTTCGTTTAGCCGATGCCTTCTCTTACAAACTATTTCAGGTAACTCTTAAAATAACAGCTGAAATATTTGACACGGAAAATCTATTCAGCGCCGAACAATGGCCCATTGTTTCGGTTTTTGAAGCGTTGAACATCTTGTTTCTATACAGAAATTCGATATTTCAACAAAAATACTTTTTCTATACACTTTTTTTTAAGTATTTTTTCTTCGGAGTTTCAATTTACATTCGCGAAACGGGATTTGTTTGAGTTTCGACTTTTAAAGTTCATTAATTCGGGGATTTTTGACTCGTTCTACGTTTTCTACGAAAATTAAAACATTCGACATTTTACGTAATTATCTCTTACAAAAAATAGCGCCTATTATACAAATTATACAAATGTACGCAATGCAGAAGAATCGATAAAAACCACTGTGGCGTGTCTAAGATTCGGATGCAGACTGTGTCTAAAGATACAAATCTATAAGAATTTTCTAAGACACTTATAGAACCCAGCAATTAAGGAAACCTTAAGTAATATGGTAACTTAAATCTATTAAAGTAAGCTTCATCGCTCCCAGGGGAGACCTTTTTGCACCACTAAAAAATAAATTGTGACCTCCAAGACTCCTGTGACAGACGGACAGTGTGACGAGGGTTCGCCCAGAAACGTGACTTACCTCGTGAGTAGGTTGATTTAAGCTGGGTATGAGATGCCCATAGTTCAATAAACGCTTTAAGTAATTGCATTCCCACCCATCCATCTTGGGCAATCTGTGGGCTTCGTGGGCTTATTTAATCGCAGCTATACCCGTCGACGATTTATTCAATTCTCACATATCTAAATTTAGTTAATCTTAAAAGATATAGGCATAATATGCTGTCGCGGACATTTTTTCATCATTTAAAGAGTAATCATTCATTTCTACATATTATTTGGGTATTTCAACCGTTTTAGCAGCGTGCGCAACGGAAACCGTCAAGGATTAATTTTACTCGTTTTCTCAACATTTCCCGTTGTTGCTATCTTATATATTATCTCCAATTAGCCGCAGCGCGATTTTTTATAGCCTTTCTCGTTAAATGATCTAACCCACACTTTTCGATTCTCACCTGCGATCATGGATCGCGCGGGCAAACATACAAACAAACAAACAGACTCTCAAATACTGGTCTGTAGTTTACGCGATATATTTTAGTTAAACTTGTTTCAGAATTAAATAAAACACTTTTAATTTTTAACTTACCTTGAAAAATGATTTTTAACTTATAAGATTTGTAACTTAGTTAAAAATCATTTTCAAATAAGTTTAACTAATATATCGCGTTTTAACCGTTAAAGTGTTTTATTTAAATGTGCTACTCGCGTAACTATAGCCCGTATTGTTTCGGAATTCTTTTAATTTTTAACTAGCCCGATTGGGTTGCTTTGCGGCAGCCGTGGTCACGGGGAGACTAAAAATAAGAATAATTCTCAAACAAGTTCAACTAATTTATATCGCGATTTAAACCGTTAAAGTGTTTTTTTTTTAAACAGATTCCTCTTTATATATTAGTATAACTACTTTATTTGTTTGAACAATATAAATTAAAAATTGATTATAAAAAATAAAAAAAAAATTCGGGCAGTACTTGAAGCGGCGTCGTCAGACCTCTACATTTTTAAATCTCTTATGTAACATGTGTAAGTGTCTCATCAATAAAAATATAGAAGATCGATGGCGCCAAAAATGACATAGAGTTCGCATTAAAGCCTGAAAACTTGTTAGAAGCGAAATGGCAAGCAGCGCCGTATAAATTAGTGAGTCAAAGGATTCCCCACTGCGCGAAGTCGCGGCAAAAACTTAATTCGTATTCAAGAGATGAGACCTGTATTCCCAGTGTGGGTGCGCGACGCCAAGAATTAAAACGTATCTCTTTACGGCGCGGGCCGAGCTGAAAGCGGAGTTGAAAATTATTTTCCTCGTTTGTTTTATACGGGAAATGCTTTCTTGTACGGTGATTTAATTGTTCATAAAACATAAATTTGACGGGCACGTTGGTGTAATGATAGGAACGTATGGCTATTAACCAATATATCGTGTGCTCGATCGCCACTGGGACCAACATATTTCAAATAAATTTATATTTTTTTCTGAAACACATTGAATTTTGGAAATTCCGTCCGGGTCACAAACCACTGTTCACAGACGAAAAAGCCTGAATATACAAAAACAAAATAGGTAGATAGCACATTATACACTTTTGCGATTTAAAATGCAAAATAAATTATTTGTCTTATTTACAATTTGTTTTAACTTTCGTGTTACTATTTTACGCTTTTTTGTATTCTGGTTTTACAGATTTTAAAATAATATTTGCCTATAGAATGTGTGAGAAGAAGTAGAAGTGTCAGATTCGGTTTGAACCTAAGATAACCAGCTTCGCAACACAATAAATATACAAAACTTATTTCATTTGATTCCCAACGGGACCATTTCATTTGCATAATATATTTAAGCTGGGATTTAAACTTAAAAATATACGGTAGAACAATAAAAACATAATCGAATAAAATAATAATTTATTCATAACAAAATGCTTAATCGCCTGTTTATCATAACCGGTTTTATTTATATGATCGTTTCCAATAAGGCGATTATGCCTACTCTGTTTCCCGCCAAATAACAAGTTTCTGTCACTCTGTCATCGCATAAATCAAATCGTTGTCTGTATTTAATTTTATGACAATTATTGTAACACCGTCTAACAAACGACAGGTGTGATTTGCCAATCTATACTATATAATATAATATTAAAAAGCTGAAGAGTTTGTTCATTTGAATACGCTAATCTCAAGAAGTAATGGTTCGAATTGAATTGAGAAAATCTTCTCGTGTTGGCTAGATAACTGCTGCAACCAATAGGCAAGGAAACAGCGGTAATGTGAAGAAAGGGCAAAATTTTCTTTGCTTTCATTGCCTGCTCTGTGAAGAAGGTTCAAGAAATCAAAAGACACGTAAAAAATGATTCTTCTGTAAAAAATCTATAAAAAGGTGAATACAATATGCCGCAGTGTTAAAACTTGTTGGTGTATTCCAGAACCGTTTGTATGGTAATCAAATTTGGTCAAAACTAATGCACATTTTACCACTTATTTGTTAGAGTTGTATCGACATGATATGAATCTTGCAAACAATAAAACAACGTTTGCCAGATGAGCCAGTCTCGGATAAGATTAAATAGTAATTATTTTTAACTATAAACGTATAGTTAAGTATACTGTAAGTATTAATAAACTCCATTTTTGGAAAACTGTAAGTTTCAAGCCCTTGGCAGACCAAAACAAATTGCCTAACAAATTCAACCCTGACTTTTAATGTCGGTGTTATGCAACACAATCGATTCATCTAAATACGTCGCTAAGTGTAAATTCCTATGAGAACAGCGATGGCCCAGTTAAGCCGGCAGATTTGACAGAGCACGGTCAACTTCACAGAGCTTATCTGATCACAAGTCATTTACAATTGTAATTCCGACCAAATACGCGATAGCCTTGTATCTGTGATATTTTCATGTGTTTGTACTGTCAATAAATATATATACTAGCGGCCCAACTCGGTATTGGACAGGTGCAATGCTGATCTATACTAATATATAAAGCTGAAGAGTTTGTTTGAACGCGCTAATCTAAGGAACCAGCGGTCGAAAATATTTTAATTTTTGTGTTTCTTAGAGCATTCATGGTAGAAGGCTGTAAAACATCGCGCTGTGAAAAATAGGAGAAAAGGAATAGCGGGAAATGTAGAGAGAAAATGTGGGAAAATTATTAATATTTTTGGGGTATCCTTGGGTACGCTGCAAACGGTTTAAGATACCCAAAAATATGTATGAAATAATTATTCCTCTTTGAATGATCTAACGAAATATCGGCAACACTATATGTCTATCTTTTGAGATTAACTTTCAAGTACGAAGGGATGAGACCGACGTTGTGAACAACAGCTTAAATCTAGAAGATAAAGAGTAATAACGCTTACATATTTTCGACCATTAGACAATCTGTATTTCATTTATAACCCTTAATGTTTAGTAATATTCCTCTAAATTGCACGCTGTAAAGGGCCTTATTGATCTATATTAAATTGACAATTCAATCAACATATTTAATTACATTGGTTTGATTAGCTGTGTTGCTTAGCACTTGAATAATTTCCAATACAGGACCGCAATTATTGTGTCCGTAAGAGATAGATGTATATGTCTATCGCGGACTTTTTTGTTGACCTTTCATTCTTTCTTACATATTTTTTAATCCTTGGACTTTATTCGCTGCGCACACCTAGAAGCCTTCAAAGATGAATTTCCACATTTCCACCAGTTTCTTCGCGCCTATTGGTCGCAGCATTTTATATAGCTTATAGCCTTCCTCAATAAAAGGTCTAGCCAACACAGAAGAAATATTTCAATTCAAACGAGTAGTTACTGAAATTAACGCGATTAC